TAGGCACTCATGCTTGTCGGGCCCCCTCGCACAGGGACCTGACCGGGCGCTTCCCAGAGTACCCCGACGAGGACGTGGGGGGCTCCAGCATCCTATTTGCAGAGAAGACCCCTGAGCAGGTCACGGGGCGCCAGGCCGGGGGGCAGTAGCGACCGGGGTGGCAGGAAGCTGGCTGCAAGCTGGCCCCAGGGTGTGGTGCCGCACATTCAGCGTGGGGTGGGGAGGGGTGCCCATGGGGTCAGGGCAGGGGGCCAGGCTGGCGGACCGCACGGGGGGCTATGGCCCCCATCTCTGCCAGCCCTCTGGGAGCTGGGGTCCTGCCGTGGCCTGGGAACCCCGGTCCAGCAGGGTCATGCTGGGGGCCCGCAGGTGAGAGAAGAGCTGGAGCAGCTGGAGAGAGAAGAGGGGGACAAGAAGAAGAAGAAAAAGAAGAAGAAAGAGGAGAAAGAGAAGGCAAAAAAAGGCAAGAAGAAGGACAAGAAACCGGTGAGCCCCTGGCTGCAGGGAAGGAAGTTCCGTCTGCCCTTCCCCGCGCGCCAGGGCTGTCCCCGCTCCTCCCTGCGGGCTCCCGCTGCGTCCCGTGACTCCCTGCGCTTGGGGCTTTTCCCAGGAGGAAGCTGAAAGTCTAATGCTGCCTCCCTCCAAATTCCTGCCCATCATCAGCACGGGCTTCACGCAGTACCAGGGTAAGGGGGCTGGACGGGGCGGGAGGAGCACACCACCTGCACGCGCACACCAGCTCGCACCCACACCTGCACTCTGAACCAAGGGAGGCCTCTGCCATGATGACCTGGACCAAGCCCTGGCAGGGTCTCCTGTCCTGGCCGCCCAGGTCTCCTGTGCCTGGCGCTTCCCCGTGGCCCGGGCTGCAGACGGGCTGGCCGTGAGGATGCAGGTCCCAGGGCTGAGAGCGGTGCCTGTGGCCAGCATTGACCCTCCCGCCTGCATGCAAGGGGCTGGCACCGGCGAGGCACAGCCGGGCGACAGTGTGTCACTCGGGGAGGGGACCCCAGTGCCACATCGGTGCTGTGTGGGGGGGGCTGGGGGCAGGTGCTATGTGGCATTACGGTGCCGACTCCTCCTATGCGATGCCTGGGGGTGCCCGGAGCTGCAGTGGCTTGCGGGGGCGGTGGGAGAACAAGGGAAGCGGGGATGTGGCAGGGTCAGACCAGCGCGCCCCCCCCTCGCCGCCGCAGCCACCTGGGGAGAGCGGGACGTGGGCAAGCCGGTGCAGCAGGGCTGCAACCTGGAGCTGATCAAGGCCCAGATGCGGAAGGAGGTGGAAAAGGAGGTTCGGCTGCAGGTCAGTGGGGGCGAGGGTCCCGTCCCTGCGGCACGGCCAGGCCCCACGGCCGTTGGGGATGTGGGGGTCTGCTCTGTCATCTCCCCTTGAGCCTGGGGGATGCAGGGGCCAGGCTGCCCAGGGAGGGCGGGGGTCTGCGGAGGCCACGTGAGGATGGGGGGAGCCCTGGGGGTGTCCCTGGCACTGCCACGAGCCCCTGCTCCCCAGGTGGACGAGATGATGCGCCAGGAGCTGCAGCGGCTGAGGCTGGCCGTGGACCGCGAGGAGCCCAGGCCTCTCAAGGCCAAGAAGAGCAGCAAGGTCTGGGGAGTGCTGGTGTTGGGCATGAGGGGCTGGGATCAGGGGCATGGATGGGGGCTGTCTCGGGGTGGGGGCATGGGCCCCTCGGGCTGTCCCGATTGTAAGGGTTTCCCCTTCACTTCTTTCTTCCAAGCAGAAGTTGGGGAAGAAAAGTGGGAAAAAGGAGAAGGACCTGACCCAGGACAGGTGTCGCCCTCATAGCTGATCCTGGCCCCACTCTCGCCGGGCTCGTCCGGCCCCGGCCCCCTCTGCTCGGAGGGGAGCCTGCCCCCCAAGCCCCTGTCTTGGCAGGGGCTGAGCGGGGCGTGCGCTCCCTGATGCCCCCCTGCCCCCAGGACCCTGGACTCGCTGTACGAGGAGCTGGTGCTGCAGGGCATCCTCAAAAAGCCCCAGGCCGTGCCGCTGGCTGACTACACCGGTGGGCACCCACCTGGGGTGGGAAGGGAGCCAGGCCCAGGCACGGCCCCGTGGCGGGTTGCTTGGGGGCAGGGGTTGGTGTCGGGGTGGGAGCTGCCCCTTTCGCCCCTTGACCCCTGCTCCCCCCCCCATGACTTCAGCTACCTGGGGAGCACGCTGCGCGCGGCGGGGGCCGAGCCTGCGCCCTCGGTGCTGGACGTCCGGCAGAACGTCGTGCTGTACGCCATCCTGCGCCTGGGTAGGGGCAGAGCCGGGCCCAGCCCCAAAGCCGACCCCGTGCCCCAGCCTGGGGCAGCAGCAGGGCTGGGGTGGGGCGCAGGGCTTGTGCCGTGTGTTGGCTGGGGGATGCATGGAGGTCCGAGCTGCGTGCAATGTCCCGTGGAGGGTGGGTGTTCCCGTGGGGGGGTGCCAGGCACTGCTGGGGTGCTCTGCCACCTGCATTGGGATCAGATACAGACCCCCCACCCCGTCCCATCCCCATGGCCCCTAGGGTCACCCACAGTGCACGAGCTGGCACCACAGGTGAGGTCCCTCCTGCTGGCTGGCCCTGCGGGCACTGGGGAGCAGATGCTGGTGCACGCCGTGTGCACCGAGACGGGCGCCAACCTCTTCGACCTCTCCCCCGAGAACCTGGTGGACAAGTACCCGGGGAAGGCCGGCCTCAGCCTGCTCATGCACATGGTCTTCAAGGTAACGGTGGGGCTGGGGAGGAAGCCTGCAGCAAGCCGGGAGCTGTTTCCCCCGTGCCCCCTGGCTCAGCGCCTCCCCACGGCCCCTTGCAGGTGGCGAGGCTCCTGCAGCCGTCGGTGATCTGGGTCGGCAACGCGGAGAAGACGTTTTACAAGAAGGTCCCGAAAGAGGAGAAGGAGGTGAGGCCGTGGGGGGCAGGGGGGGCACCTGGCATGGGGCTGTGGGGCAGGGTGGGAGCCCCCGGGCCCCCCCTGCCACTTGCGTGTCTGCCCCCGCGCCGTCTTCCCCTACCTGTGTCCCCCCTACCCGGCTGGGTTTTCTGGGCTGCATCTTGCTCTGTTTAAGGGCTGGGAAGTCCTGAAGCAGCAGAAACCCCCTGACCCCCAAAGCCCTGCCCAGGTGCCCCCAGCTCCAGTCCCTTGTGCCAGCCAGGCCCTGCCCTTGCTGCCCACAGGCCGAGCCGAAGCGCCTGAGGAAGGAGCTGCCCAAGGCCCTGAAGATGCTGCGGGTGGACGACCGGGTGCTGCTGCTGGGCACGTCTGACCGGCCCTACATGGCCGATGCCAAGGCCCTGTGCAAGGCCTATGAACGGGTCCTCCTCGTGCCCCGTCCTGACTATGCCTCCCGCTATGGTGAGCGAGGACCCAGCCCCAGTCCCCCCTTTCTCCCCTACCAGTGGCCGCTGGGGCTCAGGGGCATCACCGCCCTGCCCTGGTCGTGTAGCCAGGGGCAGCACCAGGGCATGGGCCCCGTGCAGCACAGCAGAGGTGAGGGTGCTGGGCCCCGAGCCTCGCGGCTGTCTGGGCTTGTGCTGGTGACCCCCCCGCACCCCTGCACAGCAGCTGGGGGCAGTGCATCCATCCCCTTGCTTGTGCAGCCAGGCCAGCTGCCCCCCACCCTGCCCCACTGCGTCCCCTGTGACCGCCCCTCTCCCCGCAGTGACCTGGCAGCGCCTGATCCAGAAGCACGGTGGCACCGTGGGCCGTGGCCTGGACCTCAGTGCCCTGGCCACCGTCTCGGATGGCTACAGCCAGGGGCCCATGGCGCAGGTGGTGCGGGCGGTGCTGACTGAGCGGCGCATCCTGCAGCTGCCCAGGAGACCGCTGCGTGCCGAGGAGTTCCTGCAGCTGCTGCCCAAGGCTGACCCCGTCTACCCCGAGGAGGAGAGGACACTCCAGGTGCCGGCCCCTTCCCTCCCCACTGCCCCCCACTGCGACCACCAACTCGGGGATGGGCTGGGCGCACTCAGACCTCCGGAGCCAGTCGTGCTGTGCTTTGGTCTGGCTGAGCCGAACACAGCAGTGCAGCCCAAACCAAGCGGCAGGGCTGCATTCACATTGGCCCTGGCTCCCCGCTGCCTCCCCTGGGAGCACTGACCCCACCGCTTACCTGCTGTCTCCCTCGCAGGACTGGTACCTGAAGACGCCCCTGGGTAAGAGGTGGCTCAAGGCCACGGAAGAGCAGGTGGAAGGGAAGGAGATGCAAGGGAAGAAGAAGAAGGGGAGGAAGTAGAGCCAGCTGGAAGCGGGGAGCTGGCAGCACCCCTGGCTGGGGCAGCCTCATAAAGCCAACTTGCCCTCCTGAGCCTTGCGAGGGGCTTGGTGCAGGTGTGTGCACCCATGGGTCCACGCGCAGGGAGTGTGTGTTTGCATGTGTGTGGGCACATGCTTGGGGAACATGTACATGTGCAGGTGAGTCTGGAAAGGGCTTTGTGCATGGGTCTGGCCCGAGGGCAGCACCCCTGCTTGTCTGAGGAGAAGGGTGGCATGTGTGTAGGTGTGTGTGCTTGTCCAGGGCATGCCAGGGTGTGGATCCATGTGTCGCAGAGGTGTGCACAGCCGGGGGGGAGGGTGTCACAGAGGGGTGGGTGCATGTCCACATGTGTTCAGTTACAGCTGGAGGGAACCAGAGCGGTGACACCTAGCCCTGCTGTGCACGCTGGCTGGGAGCGCACAGGTGGCCTGGGGGCCCTTGCAGTGCCCGTTTGGTCTCAGGGTGGAGGGGGGCTCGTAGCCTGGCCGTTGAAGCCGGAGAACAATGCCCGGCACCGAGGGAGCTTTGGGGCTGTTGCGGGGCAGGTGCCAGCTCCTTGCACCTCTGGCTCAGCACCTGGAGCATGAGAGGGGGTGACACCCAGGGCTGGGTGCCCCCCACCTTGCCAAGTGACCCTGTGCTGCCTGGCCTGGGCAGTGGTTGTGGGGACTCCGTGCATGGACATGGCCCCTTGGAGCCCGCTGGCGGCACGGTGCAGACACCGGCAGCCCCGTGGCCCCGAGCTGCCTCTGCCCCCCTGCCCGGGTCGCAGCAGAGAGAGTGAAGCGCCTGTGCCCCAGCGCAGGGGAGGCTGCACAGGGGGTCCCTGCCCCCACCTGCCTTCCCTGGCCAAAGGGACAGAGGAAGCCTGCTCCAGCCGTGGAGGACAAACAAACAGTGCGGGGCTGGGCTGCCAAGCTGCTATTTATAACGGGTGAGTCAGGCTGGACTGAAGGGCTCAGCCCACCCCGAGCTGCCAGAGCCGGGGAGCACCCAGCCAAGGGCACGGGACCCTGCCAGACGCTCGCGGGCTGCCCTATAAATCAGAGGCTCGTCCCATTGCTTGCTATGACCGGCAGCACCTTCACCTTCGCATTCACCTCGGCTGCGCTGCGCTCACTGCGGCTGGACGAGGAACGGCTGCACTGCTGGAAGCTTGCCCAGCGTGTGGGCCCCTCCTGCCGCCCCAGTCCCAGCGCCCTGCGCCCTGGGGGCTGGGGGTCCCCGCGCCGCCGCATGGAGCCTCTTGCCTGCCACGACTTTCTGGTGCAGAACGCGCTTTTTGCTGGTGACCTGGAGATGGTGCGGCAGCACTTCACCGAGAGTGCTGCCATCAACCTCGTCATTGAGGCCAAGGGTGATGAGCTGCGCTGGACCAGCCGCAAGCTGGGTGAGGGGGGTAGGGCACAGGGGTGGTCTAAGATCGAAGGGAAGGAGCCGGGAGTGTCCCAGGGGTGCGGGGGGAGGTGGTGCTGGGATGTGGGGGCCGCAGGGGATCCCGGTGATGGTGCCATGCACATCCCCTGCCCCACCGCAGGCTCTGGGCAGCCACGGCCTGTCCTAAATCACATCGGGTTCCCAGCCACATCCACAAGCAGAGCACGGCCATGGTCCCTCTACCCGGGACCTCTTGAGCATATATTGACAGCACTTCACAGAAGCAGGATGTTGACTGCCACGGTCCACCCATGGTCCCCCTCCTTCACCTGTGGTGGGGTTGGGTGTTGGGCCTGTGTTGGGTCAGGGTTAAGGGTATCTCATGCTGAGTTCAGATGATTGTTGCCTGGGCTGGTTTGGATAGGGCTGGTCCTGCCTCAGGACTGGATGTGACGTCTGGAGCGCCCTGCCAGGCCTGTGGCTTGAGGACTCTGAAGGAGATGTGTGTGCCGGGGCTGTTGCAGCCTGGGCTTGTTTTGCTGTGCATGCACGGATATGCATGCGTGTGCAGGGGCAGCACGTGCACCGCCTGCACACCTGGCCCTATGCTCACTGAAGGCTGCAGAGGTGCCAGGTGTTGCTTGGGTCTGCCCCGAGGGCGAGATGGTCTCAGATGCCCAGGTCTGGATCAGGAGCACTATGCAGACCTGGGCTGGGCCTTCGAACTCGGCACCGCATTTGTCCCAGCCAGCACTCGCCTTTGTGCCTGGTGCTTCGCGGTGCTGCAGCTGTCATGGCCCTGGTGCCAAGGAGGGCAGGGCAGGTACGGGGCCTGGCAGTGCAGGGGTCTGTTGCTGGCTGGCAGACAGGGTGGGTCTAGGTGATGGGGGAGGCAAGATCTTAGCAGCAGTGTTGGCCACGACAGCTTCACAGGCAGGTTCAGGCTGAAGGACGGGTGACCCTTGGGCTGCCTCCTCCCGCCTCCCCCACCTTTGCTGCCTGCCCCTCTCCGGGGTGGGGGCACCAGGGCAGCCAGGCTCATGCACAGGGTGGGGTGGGGTGGGGTGGGGTGGGGTGAGGTGATAGTCAGCTGGCTGCAGCCTTTACCCCTGCCATCTGCACCCTCCCACTTGAGTTCCCCAACAGCCCCTGCTACTCCCCCTGACTTCTCAGTTTCTGCCTTTCCCCTCAAATATCCCCAGCCTCTGCTTCTTCCTCCCTCCCCACCCTTACTATCAGATGCTGCTCAGACTCTATTACCTCCCCAGATCACAGCATGTGGAAGAGCAGGTCCTGCCAGCCATGCAGCAACATGGGCAGTTGACTGTCTGGGTAGAGGAAGGTATTCCATGTGCTCCATGCCTGGGATGGAATACAGCTAGAGCCAGACCTGGAGCTGAAGCCAGAGCTGGAGCTGAGATGTGCCTGACAGTAAAGTGGAGGAAAGGGGGCTGAGTGAGAAGAAGCTGCAGAGGGCAAGGGGGCAGGCAGCTGCTGTGGCTCTGACTCTGGCCCCAAACTGGGCTCAGGGTCAAAGTCATAGCCACAGCAGCCACCTACCCTTTCCACCTTTGTATTTGACTCTAAGGGGGGGGGGGGGGGGGGGGGGGGGGCGGGGTGGGGGCTGCCGGAGCCAATGGCAGGGCTGTGGCCATGCTTGGCTGCACCCCTCTCTGGTGGAGGAAACTTCTGCTTCTAGCTGACGCTCTAGTATTTACCTCTTGCCAGGACAAGC